ATAGGAAATGTACTCATTACCTTGCTCATGTAACTGTAACCCCTCTGTACACATTTCTTTGTTTCTAAGGACTTACAAACAATGTCTTTAATCAATAATTCTTAAGATGCTGGTTGAGCACTGTTCAAGAAGTCTTTGATTATTCCTATATTTTCAAGTTTATAAAACGTCAGGATAGTATTTTGACTGAAATGTCTTAAAAATATGGAAATAATAAAATATTTTCTTCAAGTGATGAAAGTAATAAGTTACACTGGTGAACTTACAAATAACACACTGTCCTTTATTCCTAAAGTGTAATTTGCATTGTTGGTGGGAGTGTAAACTTGTTCAACCACTTTGGAAAGCAGTATGGAGGTTCCTCAAAAGACTCCACATAGAGCTCCCCTATGACCCAGCAATCCCACCTTTGGGCATTTACCCAAACGATCACAAACAAGACCACACTAAAGCTACCAGCACAACTATGTTTATTGCAGCATTATTTACTATAGCTAAGATATGGAACCAACCCAGATGCCCCTCAGTAGATGAATGGATCAAGAAAATGTGGTATATATACACAATGGACTTCTATGCCTCCATCAGAAAGAATGATGTTGCCCCATTTGTTAGGAAATGGAAAGACTTGGAAAAAATTATATTAAGTGAAGTAAGCCAGGCCCAAAGAAACATAGATCCCATGGTTTCCCTTATTTGCAATATTTAGTATATGTCTCAGTCAAGCAGAAAAGGTCAGATAAGGTGATATTAGGGAAATGAACCCTAAGATATGTTTTTAATGTTTTTTTTTTCCATGCGATTGTTTCTAACACATTTATAAGATTATTTCTTTGTTGCTTTGTATGTATAACCCCTGCTTTCACTGTATTTGATGTTGGTATAATTTGTGGAGGGGAAGGGGAAAAACAAAACGTTTAAATAGGGATACATGTGGACCCATTGCAACAATGAGATGTACAAGTCGTTATGTCGAAAATGAACTTTACAACTTTGGTGGGGGGGCGGGGAAGATGGGAAGGGATGGGAAGGGGAAACAAAGGAGGAGGCTACAATGCTTGATAAGAAATGTACTCATTATCTTGCCCATGTAATTGTAACCCCTCTGTACAGTATTTTCACAATAAGAAAATAAAAAATAATAAAAAATAAAATTAAAAAAACACAAATAACACACTATCCTTTATTCCTAAAATGTAATTTGCTGGATCATAACTTTTGTCATAACAAATTTGACTCTGTTTAGTAATTATTATTTAAAATGGGGTTTTAAACATTATAACATATTGTCTTACAATCCTATTTTAGTTATTATTAAGTTATACTTCTCATTCTAACATTTACTTCAAAAATTAAAACATGGAAATTTCCTTCCTTTTTCTATTTGTTTCCCCATTTTAATAAGTATTGGGTTCTAGTTGATCCTTTGAAGTTTAGTAAAACATTTCTCAAAGCCAAAGAAAAAGACACTATAGAGTTCTTGATGGACTTAACAGTAGATGCCTGCCTAAAGCATCATTTTAACTGTGCAAAGGTCTATAGCATTAAATCAGAGGATAAAAGGTAGACAACTTTCCACCTATCCAAGAAAAAATAGATCATCTGTTGTTTCAGTTGAATCAAAGAATCAAGTTTCTTTGGAACATGAGGCTGAGTTAGAAATCGTTTCTATTGTCAAGTATGCTTTTTTTCATTTACCAAAATTTTCATGCCACAGATGGTCCATCTGATCAGTGGGCACACAGAATTTTCTTCTACTTCTTGAGGCTTCCGGTCCTTCCTTTTTCCTGGTTGGACAGCCCCCCTTTCACTTCATCAAAGCCTTTTTCCTTCCTGCCTGCCTGCCATGTTCCAGGCCTTGTACCTCACCCAAAGTAATTGTTAGATGAATGAGCAGCTGTGCTGGCACAATGCACAAGCTGAGCAGGAAGATGGCGCCAGCCATGCATTCCCACATCCAAACACAAATAGCCAGTTTTTTTGTGCCCAGAGCCAAGAAACTTCAGCTCATCAGAGGGAAAGCAAGGGAGGACACCTCAAATGGAAATAATACTTACATAACATTTTGATGGAGAATGAAAAATAAAAGAGTTGTCAGTAATCAAAAAAGAGAAAAGGTTGAGACCTTCTTGGCACTGAGCTTGAGGATAAACTTCCACAGCAGATGAGTAGCATATGATTTTAAAATGAAGGATCCCTGTTTTCAGGGCCACATTGGATTTGCCTCTATCCACTAACACAGGTAAGTAAAAGAAGGCATTGATGGCAAAAATATAACCATTAAGAGCACAGTTATACTGAGAGATTTTAACCATACTTTGACCATTTATCACCCAGCAATCGCCATTTCTCTTTGATAAATATCCCATGAAACACTAAAATTCAACAATGTAGGGAAAACTGTCCACCAATTTTGACTCAATGGTCCTAAGTATTATGTTACATTCGGTCTCCTGAGATCACCAAGGGCAATTCCACTAACCCTGGGGAAGGAGCCTGTCAGCCCCAGAGACATTCAGGGTCTGGTCGTATAAAAATCTGGAAATCCTGGTGGTTGCTACATACAGCTCACCAACTTTTTCATTTGTTAATTCACAAATCCACAAACGTTTAGTATACCTGATGTGTAAGTTAAATCTGACCTTTTCAAAAATACAGAGACAAATCCCTAGTAAATCTTTATTAGACTTACTGAGCAAATCAAAGAACAATCATTTTTAGACAGGACCATCATGTTTCATAAAGTATTTTCTCACAACATTTTAAATCTGATTTTTCTGCATTGCACCTTACTTTTAAAATTTGAAATTTTATGTAATTATTTCTTTAAAAAACTCAACACAACATTTCCAAGCGTAAAGAGGGTTCTCTAGCCACTTGTATGTAGCACAATTCCAAGATTTACAATTTCCACACTTGTTTTTTACCAATAAAATGTAATTGCTGGGCACCACTTGCTCATACCTGTACTTGTAGCTACTCAGAAGGTTGAGATCTAAGAATTGTGGTTCAAAGCCAGCCTGGCAAGGAATGCTGTGAGACTCTTTATCTCCAACTAACTACCAAAAAGCCAGAAGTTGAGCTGTAGCTCAAGGGGTAGAGAACCTTGAGCAAAACAGTTCAGAAACAGGCACACACACACAAATATTTAAATAATAGTGTCACATTACTCTCTAGGTTTCAAAAAATCCACTTGAATTTCACACATGTATTCGGGTAAATTAAATTAAATTCCAAGTTAGAGTAAAGTTGTATATAAAAAGTTGCCTCTGGGGTACAATTATCAACAATCATCACAAGATGATGAAATATGTTTGATGCTAGAATTGTAACAAGAATTACTTCGAATTGACTCTTTTTTTTTGGTTAGTCAAATTACCACCAAAGTATAAAAGTTAGCAGGTAATATGAATCTTCTCCATTTACTAAAAAGCCTGAGTACCAAAAAATACTGTAGAACAAAAATAGAAAATTCTTAGCAGGTCCAAAATAGTTGAGAGGAAAAGTTAATAGCTGAAGTAATTTGTTTTCTCTGTAGTGATTAAACTGAACTATAAGAGGAAATTAGATATGAAAATACCAATTAGCCTATATTCATGCTGAATTATCATGCCATGTGAACAAGTTTAAGATACTACCTAGGTAAAGCTTTGGGTCTTTGCATGCAAAAATTTAAAATGATAGGTCATATTAGAATACATCTATTGATATTTAAGAATAAATTCTTTCCTTTGAATCTCTAAGGAAATAATCTCCAGGGAAATGTGTCCCCAGTGGAAATAAACCTAAAATCCTGCAGCCTTTAGTCCAACAGTCTAAAACAGGGCTGTTTCTCATTCAAAGTTATGCAGAGAAAACTCAGGCTCTCTAATGTACACTCAGGTGTTTATGGGCCTTCCTCATGACTACAAATCACAAGGTATGAATGCACTGATGTCTGAGGCTTCTAGAGAGCTACTCAGTATTCTCCAACTCACATTGGCCATTATATTTCCTTATGAACAAAATTCTCAGTCTTGGCAGAAAAAAAAACACAAAGAAGAATTCATGAGTTCATTCGCCTTTTTCCTCAAGTATACCTCAAGTTACAAAATTAAATATGCTGTAAATTCCTTTTATACATATATTCATGTAAAATAAAGGTAACTAAGTTAAAGAGATAAATTTTCTGACACTATCCTCCTATATCCAAAAGGTATATTCCATTTTCAATCATTAAATTCTAATTAAAACATATCATTATAGAAAGAACCAGGGAAAATAACCCTATAATTTAAAAATATTGGAAACTGACACGATATGTGACTAATAATAGACAAAGCTTTTCAGGAAAATGGAGTTTCTCTATATTTGAGGGTTAATATGTGAAGCTGAGACAAGGTACAGTCCTTGTAGTTATATTAATTGAAATAATAAAAATAAAATACTTAAAAGCATCTAAATCTAATCTTCTAAACAATATTGTAGAACAAACTTTTTTTTCCAGTTCATCCTCTACTACCTAGGCCCCAAGGAAGCTGTTAAACAATGGACCACAATCTCTACTGGAATGTAATTATAACTCACAAACAACACATATTAATCAAAGCACATAAAAGCCTTTACTTGGCAGAACTAAATGGGACTTGCTTAGGGCATTTTAAGATAGCAATATGATCAGAAGTTGGGTGTAACAGTGAAAATTCTCATATATATTGCAACAAAAAAAATGATCTCTGAGAGTCTGGCCCCAAACTCTTTATCTATAGTTTTGTTTTCAGGAAAAAAATAAATGTTTTGACCTTGAGAATTTTGTGTGAGGAAATATGTTAGATCTGACAGATGGAGAAGTATGATTGTAGATGGCTGGTTTAAAATTAAGATTTTATTTTTGTTTAGGGTCCACAGTTTGAACTTAATGGTGAAAAAATTCATAGTACATGGCTTCACCTTAAGACTGATACTTTTATATAAACAATCTGGATAGAAAAGATAAGCAACCAAAAACTTCCAATACAAACCTGGGGTTCTGCAAATATTTCCTTCATACTGTTGATTGGACCATACGGGATCCCACTGCCTTCAAAAAGACATAACCACTTTTTGGTTATTTCTTCTGCAAACCTAGAAGCAGACAAAGAGGATACAATTTTTCTAATCTGAAGAAAATAACTGTCAGGCACTAGTGCCTCATGCCTGTAATCCTAGCTACTCAGGAGGCTGAGATTTGAGGTTCGCAGTTCAAAGCCAGACCAGGCAGGAACATCCTTGAGACTCTTATCTCCAGTTAAGCACCAGAAACCCAGAAGTGGTGCTGTGGCTTAAGTGGTAGAGCTCAAGCCTTGAGCTGAAAAGCTCAGGGACAGCACCCAGGCCCAGAGTTCAAGACCCATGACCAACAAAAGAAAAAAGAAATAAAAGAAAGTAGCCTCTTTCCTTATGTGGCAGGAAAATACACATTTATTTTTGTTGGTAATGGGAATTGAACTTAGGGCCTGAGCACCATCCCTGAGCTATTTTGCTCAAGGCTAGTATTCTACCAGTTTGAGCCACAGCTCCACTTCTGGTTTTCTGGTGGTAAATCAGAGAGAAGAGTCTCATAAACATTTCTGCCTGAGCTGGCTTTGAACTGTGATCCTCAGATCTTAGCCTCCTGAGTAGCTAGCATTACAGGTATAAGACACCAGTGCCCAGTAAAAGCAAACAAACAAACAAACAAACTACATTTCTTAGGTTTTCATTACTTAGAGTTTTGAGAGAAAGTTGTCTATATGAAATGACTTGAACAGCTACCTCTATAGTGGGAAGAGTCGTCACCCAGACCCTGGGTCTAAAAATTCACCACAAAAGATGTAATTCTTCCTTTTTATCCCTGTATATTCTTTGACACAAAGTCTCTTGGTAAAGAAAGGTTTTATGGCAAATGGAATCAGTTAAGAACCAAATATGGAAGCTACCAGCACAACTATGTTTATTGCAGCATTATTTACCATAGCTAAGATATGGAACCAACCCAGATGCCCCTCAGTAGATGAATGGATCAAGAAGATGTGGTATATATACACAATGGAATTCTATGCCTCCATCAGAAAGAATGACATTTCCCCATTTGTTAGGAAATGGAAAGGCTTGGAAAAAATTATATTAAGTGAAGTAAGCCAAGCCCAAAGAAACATAGGTCCCATGGTTTCCCTTATTTGCAATATCTAGTATAGGTATGAGTCAAGCGGAAAAAGTCAGATAATGTGATGTTAGGAAAACGAACCCTCAAATATGTATTTTAATGTTTTTGTTTCTTTCATGCATGTGTTTCTAACGCATTTATAAGATTATTTCTTGGTTGCTTTGTATGTCCCTCCCCCACAGTGTAACCCCCGCTTTCACTATATTTGATGTCAGTATAACATGTGGAGGAGACGGGGACAAACAAGTCGTTTAAGGATTCAGGTGGACCTGTTGCAACAATGAGAAGTACAAAATGTCATGTCAAAACCAGCTTTACAATGTCGGTGGGGGGGGAGGGGGGGTATGATTGGGTGGGGGGGGAGGGGGGAGGCTGGGAAGGGAGGTGAAGGGTAAACAAAGGAGGAGGCTGCAATGCTTGGTAAGAAATGTATGCATTATCCTGCCCATGTAATTGTAACCCCTCTGTACAGTATGTTCTCAAATAAAATAAAATAAAATTTAAAAAAAAAAAAGAACCAAATATGGTAGTAAGCAATTTACATATAATAACTATAAGTCTTAAATAATAATTACAAATATTATTGCATTTTGAAATCATGACTTTTTTTTACTTTTTTTTTACTAGACTGTAATAGAGTATTCTTCAATGTGTTCCTCAAAACAAAGTAAACTAATATAGCTGTTTTAAAAGAAAACTACATGTAAAATACACAGGAACTGACAACAACCATCATTGGCCTAGAACTCTTTGGCTACTTGCTTATTTGTATTGTGGTTTAGGAATTAGAACTCTAGACATACAAAGACATATTTTTGTTTAGATAACAAAACTCAAATTTATCACTTTTATCTCTTTTTCTTCTACATTTTAAAATTGTACTTCCCACAAAGGAAAGCATATTTAATTTTCTTTATATCCTATTAGGCCAACAAGAAAGATGGGGAAGCTAACTTACTAATTAGATTTACTGTTTCTTTCTTCTTTGTTAAAACAGTAAACACAGAAGCAGTATCTGGGGTCCATAGAGACAACTTGATACAATAATAATTTCTGTATGGAGAACTTCTAGGACTAGTCATTGCTGAAATAGTGCACTGCTTTTACTTCACTAATTATCTAATAATTACCGAAAGGACATTTTTCTTGGTCCTGGGGCTTGAACTCAGGGACTGGGTGCTGTCACTGAGCTTCTTTTGCTCCAGGATAGCTTCCTACCACTTGAGCAACAGTGCCATTTCCAGCTTTTTTGGTAGTTTATTAGAGATAATAGTCTCATGGACTATCTTGCCCAGGCTAGCTTCAAATCATAATCCTCATATCTCAGCCTCCTGAGTAGCTAGGATTACAGGTGTGCGCCACTAGCTCCTGGTACCAAAGAGATATTTTTTTTTTGTTGTTGGTCATGGGGCTTCAACTCTGGTCATGGGTGCTGTCCCTGTGCTCTTCAGTTCAAGGCGAGCGCTTTACTGCTTGAGCCACGGTGCCATTTCTGGTTTTCTGGTGTTAACTGGAGATAAAAGTCTCATGGAATTGCCTGCCGAGGCTGGCTTTGAACCGTGATACTCAGATCTCAACCTACTGAGTAGCTAGGATTAGAGGTGTGAGCCACTGGCACCTGGCCCCAAAGAGATTTTTAAAAACACTAGCTGAAGTGGATTATTAACATCTGCCAATATGAAACCACTGCTGTAAACGTAGTATATGTATTTTATATCCATGCAATTCTACTCAATTTTCATGTACACAACCAGAACTAGCATACATCTGCAGATTTCATAGGAAATTGTATTTCTTTCACCATTTCCCCCAAGTTTGCCAAACATCACCAATATTTGGAAGGCACTTCTCTGATCATCAATTAGCAGACAAAAATATACAGAAAAAAGAACTAAAAAGAAAAATAAAGTTAATGGTTTATCTAAAAGACTACTGTGTTGGTCTGGGAAGGTGGCTCAGTGGTAGAGTACTTACCTTGCATGCATGAAGCTCTGGGTTTGATTTTTCAGCACCACATAAGCAGAAAAAGCCAGAAGTGGCACTGTGGCTCAAGTGGCATAGCAGTCACCTTGAGCTGAAGAGCTGAGGGACAGTGCCCAGGCCCAGAGTTCAAGCCCCATGACAGACAAAAAAAGAAGAAGACTACTATGGTAGAGGAAGATGGCAGAGGAGAACCTGTGGGCTAAACAAGCTACTAAGCAGAAACCAGTTTTCTTGTTCCAGTGAGAATTCCAAGGCTAGAGAGTCACACCAAGTGTGTCATCATAGTACAGAGAGTTTGGCCAGAGAGGAAAAATTCAAGTAGCTTGGTTAGGAGACAGATTCAAGCACTCACTGGTGTCCACGGTGACGACGAGAGCTTCCATGGCTGCCATATCAACAGAGAGAGCCCAGGACAAAGATGCCAGAGGTTGTATGTGAGAAGATTCTACTCATAGCCAGCAAGAACTGACAAGGAACAGAAATCTTCATCTTGCTGACCACTGACATGGATGGCCAAGGGAAAGGTGTGACTACCCCAAAAGATACTCACTCCTTCTCACAGATCAATGGTAGTAAGATAGTCCCTCCCCCACCACCAGAGAAGAACTCCATCTTTGATACTGACAAAGACAGGGCCAGAGCAGTTAGCACATAACTAAGGCCTTGGAAGAAGACTATAGGAGCCATTTAACAGGTCAAAGGAACCTGACCTGCAGGACTCAGCTCCACACAGGGGGAAGTTGCCCTTCCCAGGCAGAGGGAGCTCCGCCCATGGAGGAATGGCTTTCTTCACTAGGTTACAGAGCCAGAGGCTGCCCCTCCCCACTGCAGCAGAGGCGGCAGACCTAACTGCAGGAGGGTAAAATAAAAACAATTGGAAACTCATACACATAAATCCTGAAAATGGCTCCAGGCTGGGCTGTGTGAGTGTCTCAGGAGCTAGCCTGATTGCTGACAGGCCTCAACCTTACCCACAACCTAGCCCAATCACAGCAACTCCAAGCTAGAGGAAACAGCCATCCCCTCTTTTGTGATACTCAAAACAGATTGCCCTCCCATTGAACTAGCCTGGGAGGAGGGTCATAAAGTCCCTGGTAAGGCAGAGCTTCCTTCTGATTGCTCAAACAGATTTAAGAAACCAGTCAAGCCATAGGAAAACCAAACACCACAAGCAAACCAGAAACTCCACCAAGAGACTGGTTACAGACACAGGGGAGACACCAGGTCCCCAACAACAACAACAACAAAAATCGAAGAACTCTTTATTCTACCTAATTTTAAAACATAATTAAAAATTGTTTTCTATTTTTTTCATAATTTTTATTTTAGATTTTTTAACTCTCTTTTTACTATTTTCCCTTTTGGTCCTTTTTCAGTTTTTGCTTTACTTAATTGCTGTTCTGTTCATCCCCAGATACATACCCATCTTTGATTATTAGACCTTATCCTTCATTGTGTGCATACTTTATTCAGATATCAATTACTCACTTCATAAACTCTCAGCCTTAACTTCTTTAATTGTAATATTACTTCTTTATACTTATATAATTTTAAGTGTCTCATTTTCAATTTTTTATTTTTCATTTTTCCTTTTTCAGTATCTGTCTTCTCCTTCCCTTCTATCATTTTCCTCTCTCTGCATTTAGGTCTTGGTTATACTCCCTCTCTCCTTTTCCCTCCCCACATTCTTCTAATCTTATTTTCTCCTCACAATTCTCCCTAAACCTATTAATTTCTGGTATGTTGAAGCCTTCTTTGATTTTCATGGTCCATTAATCCCTTCTGGCCACATCCCCTCCAGCATGTGTTGTTATTAGAGTTATTGATTATAGCCATTCTAACTGGGGTGAGGTGGAATCTCAATATTGTTTTGATTTGCATTTCTTTTAGGGCTAGAGAGGTTGTGCATTTCTTCATATGTCTATTGGCCATTCTTACTTCCTCTTCAGAGAAGTCT